GTTTTACCGGATTCTGGCATGGTTGACAGGAAATAATGATAATTGTGCGTGGAAGCACCACACTGACGTCCTATGGTGCTGGGCTGAAGTGTACTTTTTCAATGAATTATGGAAAAAGGAAGTCAGTTCCAAATCACATAGGCAGCATTCTTTCGGTAGTCGAAGCAAAGCAAACAAAGTCCACCAAAGCCGCATTCTTTTCCTCCTGATTAAGTTTCGTTCAGACGAGAAAGAAGCCTTGGTTGGATATGGTTTTAAGTTGTGCCCTATGCTGCTGGCGGCCTTGCCCAAAGTGGCAGGGGGGTTACTTGTAGGGTCAAGAGTTCAGGGTACAAGTTAGGACCTGAAAATAAGTATTCACATGAAATTTAGCGGGAGGATTGCTTCAACCCATGTTCAACCGTGGCCTTCCCTGGGAAAAACAAATTCCCCAACAGAATTTATGGGAAAAACACAAAACAGACTGCTTTCAGTGGTCAGACAGTGCGTATATATACATATTCCCGGGAAATGCGTAAGAGAGTGCCGGTGTGACAGACAGAGTGCTTCATCATTTTCAGGAATTTGTATAGTTTCACCCATATATCTTCTCCTTCCGCCACTACCCTCGTTTGCGAGGGCAGTGATGTTAACTTATGTTCATGTTTTCGCCGCAACGCAGTTATGCTGCACCGTACACGGGGCATAGACATGTGGCAACTACAACGATTATGCCAGAAAAACTTTTGATCATTAATTTCCCACAAATCGTTGCAAAATTAGTGAAGAAAGACTTCTTGTTCCTTTGCCAACCGTGGTCTTTGTGCTACATAATAGTCAGGAACGCCTGTAAAAAATGGCCAATGAGGGATTTTGGTTTGATTCAACATATTTTGGAGCTATACGACAGGCCATTGAAAACAACCTGCAAGAGTATATACATACAGCAAGGAAAGGCGTCTGCTTTTGGATCCACTCCAGGAGATCGGAGGCAATTTTAGCGTATTCGGCCATCAGTTTCTCCGTGTCCTGGTTGGACTTCAGCACTTTGGCAATACGACTAGCGGCAGACTCGGTCTAAAAGGGGAATGTCAATCTTACTTCGGCGATAAAAGTTTGGAACAAACAAAAAGATCGACCTTTTGACGTGAGAAAATGAAGCTAATTACAAGGGATTAGACTTATGGAAATAATTGAGGGCCTGCAATCAAATATACCAGAAGCTGAAATCCACCGCGTCGTCCGACGAACACAAGCAACTATTAAAAACCGTTTATTTACTCAGAAGCTAAAAGTGAGTTTTGGGTACTGCTGCGTACGTTTGCCGTCGGGCCGAATAGACCTTCGATGCTTGTCCCTCCATTTTAGCTCAAAGTTTGCAACCATTCTGATAGACTCAATCCAAGCACTCAAAAGTTTAAAGGCGAAAACTAGGCAAATCTACAAACACCAGTACAGTGAATGCAGTTATTGTGTTTCTGCAAAAACTGAGCCCACAGTCATTTGAAAGCGCTCTCGCATTAATAAGATGACCTACTACCCCAGTACAGTAGTCGCCGGTTATTAAGCCCAAGTCAGCTTGGGGCGGAATTTTATATAGCAAAATCCGCCGGCTAATAAGCCCAATCGCCGGCTACAGAGCCCAGTTTGCCAACAGGATAGAGTGAAATTCTCATCT